TGGGCAGGGTCGGGCGAAGTGCCGAGCGGTTTATTTTAAGATAACGCGCGATCAGAGAGAGAGAGAGAGAGAGAGAGAGAGATCTCCAGCGAGTTCATTCCCGCGAAACAGTTGCTTATTATGTCACTCGTCTGCCTCTAACCTAAACATATGGCTATCGTTGCCATGTTAAGAGTCTTATGAATGAACGAACGTCGAGTGAGGAGGAGGAGGAGGGAGAGGAGGAGGAGGTGGAGGAGGACGAGGGAGAAGAGAAGGGGGAAGAGGAAGGGGGAAGGGGGGGAGGTGGGGCCAGGAGGGGGAGAATGGGAGATAGGGGGAAGGAGGAGGAGGAGGAGGAGGAGGAGGAGGAGGGAGAGGAGGGGGAAAGGAAGGGGAAGGGGGAGGAGGGTATACCGCCACGCGCGTGCGAGTCAAGATGCCTAGGAAGCAGAGAGGTGTACGGCGTTTGCTCCCTCTCTCACACCACTACTCTGTCGTACGTACAGCGCTGTGCATTGCTTATGCCGCCGCGCATCTCGACATTGCCCACGATGTGCCCATTAACTGTGTAGGTGTGTTCGACCCATAGAAACATATTGAGATACTAGTATATAGTAGTATATATAATAATAATAATAAATAATATTATTATATACAACTACAATATATATTATATATAATATAATATATATATATATATATAATATATACACTAGTGTATATTTATTTCTTATTACTCGTTATTGTCTATATAAGTTTATTATATAATATATGACATATAATAGTAGTACTATATATATATATATACATATAATTATATAATAAGTATATATTATGATATAATAATATAGGCCTATATATTCATAGCTAGTGATATTATTTCTGTGGTACGACCACGTCACGAAACATCGCCGTTGGTTGCCACACTGTAAAACCCGTAAAACCCGCTTTCTCGGTTAACGGCTGGCGATTTGTTACGACGCGTCACGTGTCTACGAGCTGATTGGATGCGCGAGAAGCTTGCGCCCGTGAAGATCGGCGACCTTTCATAATTGACCTGACGTGAAAGAAGATTCCACACGCGAGACGACGCGGGTATTATATACCGCATGGTGGACTCTTCAAGTGCCCCGACATCAAGTACTACTGTAAGCTTGAAGCTTGTACTAAGACTGGTCGTGAATCGGTTAGTATTGCGCCGTGCTTTGTGCAAAAACGAGTTGACTTTGAGCAGAAACGTGAACATTCAGCTTTTTTTACTGACGACGGTGTAAAAACCAAGCGTGCGTATATCGGTTGGATAGGCTTGCACCCATGTTATTATCAGAGATTTACGCACATATAGAAAGTAGCAATATTATAACCAAGTTTCTCTGTCTAGTGGTAAACAGTTCTGCATCATATATATATATATATTATATATATATATATATATATATATATATATATATACGTTATATTATTATGAGTACATAATATGAGAATCTTCTATATTCATGTACTCTTGATTATTATATATAGTAAAAGTGAATCGCCAAAAATAATACTGACTTGCTTAGGATACAGTACATTTGAAGAATCAGTTGGTCTGTATAGACACGATTACCAGTACAGGTGTTCAGTCATGATTACTACTTTATACAGACATGTGTTACAAGTTCATGATAATCGCCTGGTTCATACAGGTGTGCATCTCATTGATACCAGCTCATTGCAGGCAGGTGTTCATCTCAATGCGTTACCCGCCACCTCCACCACCACACCTAAACATTAACAGGTGTGAAATACGTTCGCTTGTTCACCACGTAAACATAAAAATCACGTGTTGTCTCAATCCCTACATACAGATAGGTGAACACCGTCTCCAACCCCACATACACACAGCTGTATTGTTATCTCACCCCCCACATACACCAGGTAATATGTTATCTTCACCCTCACATACACACAGGTATACGTTGTTATCTCACCCCCACAATACACACGAGGTGTATTGTTAATCTCCTCGCCACATACACACAGGTGTATTGTTATCTCACCCCAGCATACACAGCAGGTATTATTGGTTATCTCACCCCCCCTCCCCCCACATTACACAATTCACCAACAGCGTGTATTGTTATCTCACCCCCACAGACACACAAGGTATATTGTTTAGTCTCACCCCCCCCCCCCCACATACACACAGGTATACTTGTTATCTCACCCCCCACATACACACAGGGTTATGTTATCTCACCCCCCACATACACACAGGTCGTATTGTTATCTCACCTCCACATACACACAGGTGTATTTCGTTTATCTCACCCCTCACATAACAGCACAGGTATATGTGTTATCTCACCCCACATACACACAGGTTATTGTATCTGCACCCCCAACATACACACAGGGATTGTTATCTCACCCCAATACACACAAGTGTGTATTGTTTATCTCACCCCCACATACACACAGCGTGTATTGTTATCTCACCCCCACTACACACAGGTGTATTGTTATCTCACCCCCACATACACACAAGTCGTATTGTTATCTCACCCCCACATACACACAGGATATATTGTTATCGTCACCCCCCCCCCAATACACACAGGTGTATTGTTATCTCACCCTACACATACACACAGAGTGTATTGTTATCTCACCCCCCCACATACACACAGCCGTGTATTGTTATCTCACCCCCAACATACACACAGGTGTATTGTTATCTCCCCCCCATACACACAGGTGCTATTGTTATTCAACCCCCACATAACACAACAGGTATATTGTTTATCTCACCCCCCCCCCCAATACACACAGGGTGTATTGTTATCTCACCCCCACATACACACAGGTGTATTGTTATCTCAAACCCCCACATACACACAGGTATATTGTTATCTCACCCCCACATACACCACGGTAATATTGTTTTATCTCACCCCCCCCCCCCCCCCCCCAATACGCACAGCGGTGTATTGTTATCTCACCCCCACATACACACATGTCGTATTGTTAATCCTCACCCCCATACACACAGATGTATTGTTATCTCCACCCCCCCCACATACACACAGGTGTATTGTTATCTCACGCCCCCCCCCACATACACACAGGTGTATTGTTATTCTCACCCCACATACACACAGGTGTATTGTTTATCTACCCCAATAACACCACAGGTGTTATTTGTTATCTCACCCATCACATACCACACAGGGTATATTGTTATCTCACCCCCCCCGCCCACATTACACACAGGTGTATTAGTCTATTCTCACCCCCACACTACACACAGGTGTATTTTGTTAATCTCACCCCCACATACACACAGGTGTATTGTTATCTCACCCCCACATACACACAGGTATATTGTTATCTCACCCCCACATACACACAGGTGTATTGTTTTCTCGCATACTAGGTATGAGATATCCCCCGAGATAGCCACCGAGATAAATCCTCGGGATAACTTGCAGACCCCGAGATGGGTTTATCTCGCAATACTTTTTAATCCAATGATTAAAGGTCCAAAGGTTCAAAGATCCAAAGGTCAAAGGCCACCTTTACAGTTTTTGGCCAATCAATACTCAAAAAATTAATTAATAAAAAAAAATAAAAAAAAATAGAATAAAATAAAAATAATAAAAATAAATATATAAAAAGTAAATAAAAAAAATAAATTGGAAATTTTGCAAAATATTGAATTACTATTTGAATTGTTCTTTCTGCAATAAAAAGTAAAAAAAAATATTTAAAAAATGTGAAAAAAAATAAAAATAAAATATGCAAGAAAAAGGTTCTATTACAGTATGAGCTTGAGATTGAAAATATCTCACCCTCATTATCGTGTGAGCTTTCCCATCTCAAGCTCATACTGTAATTGAATCTATAAATCTCACCCCCCCCCATACAAACAGGTGTATTGTCATGGTCACCCGTGTCACATATAGTCAGGTGTGGGATCGTGCTCAATCCCGCATCCACACAGGTGTACTCCCGTCTTCTTCCGCGCATATACAGGCAGGTGTACTATGCCGATTCATTCGTACAAACATGCACGGCGGCGCAGACGTGCAGGTGAGTAAACGAACCGGAGCGACCATTGCTTGACACTGCCGGCGGGTGCTGGTCGTGGGATGCGATGTGAAGCTCAGACATAGGAAGCCTCTCATCTTCGCGCGTGTGTCTTTACCAGCCAGTCATCACATCTGTTCTTACTCTTAGCAGACACTTCGGCAGCTGCAAAAAATCAGAAAATGAACACACCATGCTCGCAGCTGGTGCGCGCACGACTCCCCAGCCTATTTACAATCTCTGATGCTCAAGGACTCCTGCTTTTCCTTCCTTTCATCCCGCTGATGCTAGGATGACGGCAGCAACGCGCTGTCCCGCTAATTTATGCTCTTTTTAAAAGGACCTCGTCGAAATTGCGTCTGTGTGTGATTCGGTTTCGGCATTTATGGTGCGTAGAATGTTGATTGCATTTACCAATCGCTCCACAGACGGAGTAACGTCTCTACGAGTTGGTTTGATTCTGGCGATGACAGTGTATTTTGTTCTGCACGACTTTTGCTATATGGCCGATGATAGTGTATTTTGACCTGCACGCGACCATTGCTACGACGGCGATTTAGCTGGCAAACGTTTTATCACTTTATGTTACGTTGTGTCGCGGTGCGTTGCGTTCCGTCATGTTTACGTTACGTTACGTAACGTTTCTACTCATAACGATGTAAATGCTGTATACGGATTTACAAACAACGATATTGGTCTGTCATTAGATTAGGAGTAGCAGGAAGTTCGTATAAAGGTGGGCATTTGGAGTAATTACTGAGTGAAAGAATGTCTCTCATTCTCCTGCTGCGACGTTTGTGATTATCGCGTGTCACACTTTTTCCGCGTTCGCATTTTTAATCAACATAATTGTGAAAGGATTCCCACTAAAAAAAAACAGGATAACTGCATTTCGTGATTTCGATGCTGTAATTCCCGTCTGAATTTCATTACGTTTAAATTTTTTTCAGAATTATTCCGGGATTTGAAGCAAATGCAAGAGGCATGGCTCCATGAAGGTAAGTTTTCGTCTTGACAGCTTATGCTAACTCCCAGTCTTTCTGCGTTCTACTGCACTGAATCGCATGCAAGATATATCATCTATTATTCAACTTAAAGGTTCGAGTAAACGCGATCATTATAAGGGGCGACCAGTCCTTGCATGGCAGAGACGTTGCATTCGATAGCACCGATGTGTAATACAGCAGTACTTATGTTTGATCTGTCAATGCACTAGTCTAACGAAAACAGATATTCGGACAAAATTCCAAATGGTTTTCGTTTAAAAATACATAGAAAGATCACCGTCCAAATAAAGGAACTGTGCACCTGAAACCAAAGCTTTATCCATGATGCATGCATCTGCGGTATTGATTAGTTAATTTTAAGAAAGAAAGAGCGATGAGAATTAGCCATGCGTTTGGCCCTTTACGAGGCACGTCCCTACTAGCACATACTTAGTCGCCGAATTTACTAAACATATTGTGTATTGACCACACACACACGAGCGCGCGCACGCACGAACGTACGGACGAACGCACCCACGCACGCACGCACGCATAGACACACACATGCGCGCACGCACGCGCACACACACAAACACGCACAAACACACACATACGCACGCACGCATGCGTTAATGCACGCACAAACACACACACACATAAGCACGCACGCACGCATGCAAGTACGCACGCATGCATGTACGCATGCATGTACGCATGCATGTACGTACTACGTCATATTAATAAAATCTATGACGTAACTGACGAGTTATATTAGCCAGCAATATTAATTTTAACCTCGCTGTGCTCCTTCCCTGGCTTCAGTGCATTAATACGGATATATATATA